ATTTGTGAGTAAACCAGAAGACAAACGCCTTCAATCCTCCAACGTAAACTAATTATAGTTACGTAACTTCATTACTTAGTATGCCGTCACATGATGAATGGGCCTGCAGCTATGAAGCAAGTTACTAAAAGGTAGTTTTATAGTAAGAACCTTCTAATTTCGTGTCCGTTCATGCAGAATAAACAAGGAAGAAGACTGAATGAGAATCGGAACAATTAATTTGTTATTCTGAGCTTTATAACTCCTACAGGAGCTCATTCTCCGATGTGACAGCAACAACAGAACTAGCGACAGTTAAATCGGCTATCAGCCAATCGATTTCAGAGACGTGGGTTTAGATTTGACTATGCAAGGCTGCGTATGCCATCGCCAGGTCGATAAATCGATTACTGAGTTCTCATCTGAGGCCCAGACTCCAGTCAATTCTCAGCTTGTCTTGCTTCCAGCACGGCCTATTTTTCCTGACGAAAGTGAAGTTGAACTTATGACCCATTTCGGGCAGCTTATTGCGATATTTTGTCATCTTGTCGGACAGACAACTTACGTTGGCGGATGCGCAGTCCGAGAATGCATCCAGTCAGTGTAGTTACAAGGATAATTTGGCAAGGATGCGACAGAGTACACTAGACTGCTCATTGGATGTACCCTATCCTTGACTTCTATGGCACTGCTGTGCATGGTAGTTTTGGTCGTTGTTTAGTTCCGCCAGTTTGTTCGGCAGCAACGTTCTCCGTTGCTTCTGAAACGTCCTTACTGTACGTCAGTGTGTGCCATATCTTTGGCAATATTTCTGTTTTAGGCTTCCAGGGACGAACACGTAGGGATTGGTGTATAATCGTTCAAAGAGCTCTCAGACGTCACGTGTCCTTTTTAACTCCTATAGGACCAGTAATGCCAATAAAACAGAAACTGGGGAGACCCTTGGAGTCCCCAGCAAGGGTAGGGTAAGTATTTAATCAAGAGTCGAGCAGTGTCATGAAGTCACAATTTTGAGACAATTTTGAGTCTCGTCGTATGCCTATTCAAATTTCTTGCACGAAACGTTGAGCGCCAAATTCGGAGGGATGGATGTGAATACCGACGTCGCGTCGAAAAAGGGCCATGGTTTCGTCTGGTTTTATCCTCAGAGGTCTACGATGAAACAAGAGGCTAAGCAGACTGAGGGAGTCAAACAGTTCTAAAGAAACTTTCATCCGCTTCGCCTATTTAAAGGTAGGGTAATTGACCTTGGCGGAACAGAGTGGTATCAGTTACATTCATTTGGCGTACTTTATTCCCCAAAATCCTATTAAGGCACTAGAATTCTATGAGCAGTTTTTCCGACCAATTTGCTATTGTTTTGACTTATGCGTTTTGTACTGGCCTGGAAAGTCCTCTGTCACCAAGAAAGGCCTTCATTGCGGCACTTTAGCTTTCTCAGCTCATCGCGGCAGTTGTTCGTCCCTAATCGGGTGGCAGAAGGATTGTTTTGTCGTCCCTCCTGAGTTCTTCCGTAGGTTTTAACTCTTTCGGCGAGATCCAATGATTTGGTCTATGCGTCATCAGCAAAGAGGTCACATCTTGTCAAAGAGGGCATTTCTCGTTGCTCGTTTCCCCGGTCACAACTTTAAGGGTTGCAGTGATGTCAACGAGGTCGATATCTGCGATCTTGTAACAAGCTGTTGGAAGGTAAGGTAGTATTTTTCCCAAAGCATGTACTGGGACCGTGGAAAAACCTACCGAAGCGATCTTAATGTTTCTGTCTGCAGCGACATCCTGAAATCGCCTTGACAGACAGATGCTGAAACAACAATCATACCGTGTGAATGAACGACCTTAAAACAAACGTACTTATGTAAATCTAAGTCTGTTTCCGTCTGGTGCTCTAATTTCCTTACATTATCGCAAGTTCTTTGGATTTGTTTGCGGCAGATAGGGAAGTTTAAATACCGTTAGTTCGTTCCCCTCAATACACTGCAGTAAACCGAACCGAAGCTTCATGTTGTAGCAATCGTCTTTGCTGCTCAAATAACTGCGAATCTCCTTCGAGCCTCCCATGTTTTGTGGTTTTGTTTTACTCAGGTTTCGTTACAGGTCGCAGTATAGAATAGCACATCGTATTCTGTGTGCGAACTTTCCTTGAAACTACACAGGTCAAACTGGACCCGTGCTCAAACTGCGCATACACGGACATAGGCTGACTATGCAGTGGGACACCGGATTACCGTAAGTAGCTACTTATACCTTTGAAATGGGTCAGAAGCTCAACTTCGCATCCGCCAGGATAATACCCATTGCCGGAAGCAAGACAAATAGATAATTAATTGGGGTCTGGATCGTGTATGAGAACCCATTCAATCAATGTATCGACCTGGCGATAACACACAGATCCCTGAACAGTCACATCTAGACCTTTGCCACTCACGTTAGTCGGCTGACACCTCAAATAACCGTTGCATCTTCTCTTGTTGCTGTCATCTATGACGATGGGCTCCCGTAGCTGCTCCATAGTTCAGTATAATAAATAAATTTTCCGGTGCCAAATCCATCTTCTTCCTTAGTACTCCTACCTACCTCTGGAACCCAAGATTCGCCTCCATTCGTAAATTGACAGTATTTTCAGCATCCATTCTGTTTCCAATGTAAGTCCCATTCATCTCACCCTTCAGGTCATGCACCTGAAAAAAATACTCTTTTTTCTATATAACACAGCAGCTGAGCTGGGTGACATATAAACTAAATAGGCTAAAAGCCGCGGCTTGGAAGGGTGCCAACTGACGGGATAACTTGGACCTCCTCCTCGACTGGTGGGGTCTGAGAGTCAGGCTGCAAAGGCTCCTTCTTAATGTGGCCTTTATGGCACTCCCACCACAGTGTGGGATCCGAGTCAGGCGTCGGCGGCACGCCCAGGTGCGGCTTCGGCCGTGCCAGCCTTCAATCTCGGTTGTGTTGGTTGAAATCATGGTTATTGTTGTGTGGACCAGGGGGTGCGGTGGAACGCCAAGGTGAGGATCCGTCCGAGCCATCCACCTGCGGCCTCCCTCGTCTCCGGTCTTCTTGACTCTGTCTTGACACCGGGCTCGGGCGAGGGAGGAGGAGAGAGTGTAGGCAGATGCAACGCAAGTCTACCGGCACTATAAACCCCTGCATAAGTCATCGTCCCTCCTCCCATTGCTGCTGCAAATGTGGGGCACACGGTGGACATCATCAAAATTGATGGTCGAACTGTCATATTAAGTCAAAATCATCGCTGACAGCAGTAAGTATGGATGACGTACAGTCTTATCAGCAGGTTCCGTTATGGTCATCGAAACCAGTCAATTTGTCCATATTAGACACAGTCGCGGGGAGGGCATGCAAGTTTGCAAACGACTAGCTCTTCACGTTGTCGGAGTTGGTCAGTTGGCTCCGGTTGTCGAAGACGACTCCGACATCTCACCACTCAAGCTTCGGACGTCCGCAATAGGGGAATGTTAAGCGAGTACCTAACTTTTTTACTTGAAGAGAGAAGCATTGTCGAAAAGCGCAATATCCACTTTGTAGCGACCGAATTCTCGTACGACCATGATGATGACAGTTCGACCATCGGTTTCGATTATGTCCACCGTGTGCCCCACAGCTGCGGCAGCAATGGGAGCAGAGACGGTGACTTATGCAGGGGTTTATAGTGCCGGTAGACTTGCGTTGCATCTACCTTCACTCTCTCCTCCTCCCTCGCCCGAGCCCGGTGTCAAGACAGAGTCAAGAAGACCGGAGACGAGGGAGGCCGCAGGTGGATGGCTCGGACGGATCATCACCTTCGCATTCTACCACACCCCCTGGTCCACATAACAAATGTCCACGATTTCAACCAACACAACAGATATTTGGAGACTGGCACGGCCGAAGCCGCACCTGGGCGTGCCGCCAACGCCTGACTCGGATCCCACACTGTGATGGGAGTGCCATAAAGGCCACATTCAAAAGGAGCCATTGCAGCCTGACTCTCATACCGCCTCCAGTCAAGGAGAAGGTCCAAGTTACCCCCCGTCATTTGGCAACCTTCCAAGCCACGGCTTTTAGCACACCGTGATAGCTTTAAGCGCGTCAGATTGTTTATAGTGAGAAGAAAGTGCGCTGAGTCGTCGACCTCACTCTCTTTTCCCACCCCCACACCCCAGCCGCTGTCCGAGCCGGTCAGCAGACTGGAGTGGGAAATGGGCGCGGTGGCTGTCATGGTCGACTGAACATGTCTGCGCGCGCCACGGCACGACCTGGCCCCCCATAAACACAACACCAGGATTTCACACAACGGGGGTTGAACGGCGTGTCTCTCACTTGCGTGAGAGTGCCGTAAAAGGTGCTGTTTCAGCCCGTTCCCAGCCCACTAGTCCGCCACTGCACGCAACACACACAACGCGACGAACTGCGTGAACCGAGAGCCGGCGTCAATCAGCAACCTTCCTATCCACGACGCTTGACGTGTCGGGATAGTCTCGGACTCAAGTCACCCGTGCAGCCGAAGCCGCATGGGGACCGAGTCGAGATGCGGACTTCCCACTTGCGTGGGAGGTGGCAGTTGGCTGCATGAGGTGTGTGGGTGTTGATTTCTGGTGGGTTGATGGTGGTAGTGGTGGTGGTGGTGGTGGTGGTGGAGGAGGAAGTAGGGAGTGAGTGAATGTGTGGTGTGACTGGCGATTGTCTACCGCAGGTCGTCGTGGATGCGCATGTGGGCGAATAGGCTCATGCGATGCCTGAAAGTGCGAGGACAGTGTGGGCGGTTGAGACAAGCTTGGTGGGTATAGGTGGGTGCTCCAGGCACTGGTTCGCCAGTCTCTGTGCGATGGATTCGCAAATGGCCGACCAGGCCGATGCGTGAGGTGAATGTGCGTGGACAGTGTGGGCATGAGAAGTCGACGGTGTCAGTGTCAACTAAAGAGGAGGCGGCGGTGGTGGTGGTGGTGGTGGCGCAGACGGATGGAGCGAGGGTGGGGGTGTGCACAGTGGATGTGTTGGATGTGGTGGGTGTGTCGGGAGTGCGGTCAAGGCCGCTCTCGTGGATGCGCATGTTGCCAAGTAGGCCAATGCGATGCCTGAAGGTGCCAGTGTGAGCAGTGGAGGCAAGTGCGGTGTGTGTTGGTTGGTGCTTCAGGCACTGGTTCGCCAGTCTCTGTGCGATAGATTCGCAAGTGACCGACCAGGCCGATGTGTGAGGTGAAGGTGCGGCCGCAGTGAGGGCAGATGTAGTTTTGATCCTCATCGCTGGAGTCGGGGGAGCTGGTGGTAGTGACGGTTGTTGCGCGCGGGACAGTCGCCTGAGCGGCCGCCGTTGGAGCAGTGGACGAGGAGGAGGAGGAGGAGTAGACGTAGGAGGAGGAGGATGGAAGTGGTGGGTCAGAAGAATTGTCAGAGTTAGTTGGCTGCGGAGAGGAGGAGGAATAGGCGGGCGGGGGGGGGACGATGGCTGGTGCAGTCCGAGAGGCGCAGTTAATCCGAAGATGCCCAACAAGTCCGATTCAAGCCCGGAATGTCCGTTGACATCGAGGACACGTTGGAAGCGGTTGTGCGGCGGCGTTGCTGACTGGGCGAAGTTGTGATTTGCGGGCTTCACGTTTCGCTTTGGCGGCAGCGATGCGGTTGGCTTCGTAGATCGCAGCGCCTGTCTTCACTGTCCTCCTCCAGGTCGGTCGATCGAGTGCAAGCTCCTCACAGTTGGTGGGGTTGATTTGCAGGCGTTTCAGGGAGGACTTCAGGGTATCCTTGTAACGGCGAATTTGGCTTCCTTGACGGCGTGAACCCGTCGCGACGTCTCCGTAGAAGAGTCGTTTGGGTAGTCGCTCGTCGTCCATGCGCACCAGGTGGCCGCTCCAGCGCAGCTGCATTTGTCTCAGTATGGCGTAGATGCTGAGGATTCCCGTCCGTTCAAGCACATCAGTGTCGGGGATGCGATCCTGCCAGTTCAGCCGCAGGATGCGACGAAGACACCTGAGGTGGAAGTGGTTCAGTCGGCGTGCCTGCCTCGTGTACACCGTCCAGGTCTCTGCTCCGTACAGTAGCGTCGGCAGGATGACGGTCTTGTATATATTTAGCTTCGTGCTCAGTTGAAGACCGTGGCGATTCCAAACTGTGCTTTGGAGGCGACCGAAGGCTTGACTGGCTTTCGAGATCCTGTTGGCGACTTCGTAGTCGATCTTGGTGTTGCGGGAGAGAGTACTGCCCAGGTACGGGAAGTTCTCTACCACTTGAAGTTGGGTCCCATTCACGCTGATTTGCGGCGGCGCGTTGGGGGCTGTGGCCGAGTTGGGTGTCGGTTGGTGCATCACCACCGTCTTCCGCGTGTTGACTACCAGCCCGAAGTTCTCGCAGGCGGTGGCGGATAGGTCCATGCTGCGTTGCATCTCCTCTTCCGAGGTGGTGTTCAGGGCGCAGTCGTCGGCGAAGAGGAGTTCGTGAACGGTGGTTGTGGATACGCGCGATTGGAAGTGCATCCGCCGTTGATTCTTGAGGTGACTGTCCGTCGTGTAGGCGATGCGGATTCCAGGGCGGTCGTCGCGGTAGGCGTCCATCAGCATGGCAGAAAGCATAAGACTGAAGAGGGTAGGCGCCAGTACGCAGCCCTGCTTCACTCCATTGGTCACTGCTAATGCCTCTGAGACAGCTCCGTTGTCCGTGACTCGCGCCATCATACCGTCGTGCAGCTGACGCACCATCTGAGTGAATCGCTCCGGACAGCCGAATTTCTGCATGATCTTCCACAGTCCTTCACGATTCACCGTGTCGAAGGCTTTCGTCAGGTCCACGAAGGTAGAGTACAGGTGGGTCCGCATCTCCTGACACTTCTCCTGAAGTTGGCGGGCGGCGAAGATCATATCCGTGGTCCCACGATGTCGACGGAAGCCGCACTGGCTTTCCGGCAGAAGGCCCTGTTCCAGATGGTTGTTGAGGCGGTTGAGCAGGATGCGAGCGAAGATCTTCCCGGCGATGTTCAGCAGGGAGATGCCGCGGTGGTTGTCGCAGACTTGGCGATTCCCTTTGCGCTTGTATAGGTGCACGATAGTTGCGTCCTTGAAATCTTGCGGGACTTCACCTTGACGCCACATCTCCTGGAAGAGCGCAGTCAGGTGATCCATCAGCAGGGGACCTTCGTGCTTGTAGACCTCAGCAGGGATTGCGTCCGATCCGGATGCTTTCCCGCTGTAGAGCTGCTGCACGGCCCTGATGGTCTCCTGGAGAGATGGCGGGAGGTAGAGGTCCACGTTGGTCGCCACTTGCGGCAAACGCTCGATGGCGGCGTCGGAGATGACGGAGGGGCGGTTGAGGACGCTTCGGAAGTGCTCGGCCCATCGCTGTAGGATTTGCGTCTTCTCAGTCAGGAGAGTGCAGCCATCGGCGCTGAGGAGAGGAGCAGTGCCCTTCGTCGGCGGACCGTAGACAGCTTTGATCGCGGAGAAGAAGTTCTTCCATTCGTTGCGGTCCGCATAGCCTTGGATCTCCTCAGATTTGCGGGCAGTCGAGTCGTCCTGCATCTCGCGCAGTCGTTGCTGCAGTTGGCGGCGACTGCGGTAGAAGGCAGCTTTGGTGGCATCAGTGGGGTGATCTACGTAGGCTCTGTGTAGGCGGTTCTTCTCAGCAAGCAGATTTCGGATGGCGGCGTCGTTGTCGTCGAACCAGTCCTGGTGTTGGCGGGGAGCGCGACCGAGGACGGCGAGCGCCGTCGCCTGGACCGTGTCTCGCAGTTGACACCAGCGATTCTCCACGGAGGCGTTCTCGGCAGCGGTGGCGTCGGCGGCGATAGGAAGGTTGTCTAGCCGTTGGGCTAGCTCATTGCTGAAATGAAGACGGTAAGCGGGCAAAGACAACAAGGCAACATTCAGCTTACCTGGGGGTCGCTTACCTTGTGGTCTCCAGCGAGGCTGCAGGCGAATACGCATCTTCGAGAGGACGAGGCGATGGTCGGTCCACCCGTCAGCGCCCGCGATCGCCTTCGTCACCAGCACGTCCCGCTGATCTCGCCTCCGGACGAGGACATAGTCCAGCAGGTGCCACTGACGCGACCGAGGGGGCCTCCAGGTGGCCTTCTCTCGCTCCGGCAGACAGAAGAACGTGTTCGTCAGGATGAGGCGATGTTCTGCGCAGGTGCGGAGAAGCAGCAGTCCGTTGTCGTTGGAGCCACGGAGACCGTGGGGGCCCAGCACTCCTTTTCAGGCAGTATAGTCTGTGCCGACGCGGGCGTTGAAGTCACCAAGGACAATCAACATGTCCGCCTTCGATACAGTCGCCAAGAGGGCGTGCAGGTCCTCGTAGAATTTGTCTTTGACGGCGTCGGGGCTGGTCATCATCGGAGCGTAGATGCTGATGATAGTGGGGAATTTGCCTCCCCAGAGAGGCAGGCGGAGGCTCATCAGGCGATCGTTGATGCCCTGCGGCAAACAGGGCAGTCGTCCCACGATGTCGGTCCGGATGGCGAAGGCGACGCCCGCGTCTCGTCGCTCTGCCCTGGGTCGACCGCTCCAGAAGAAGGTATAACCGGCACCCACCTCCTCCAGTTGGCCTTCTTCGGAGAATCGGGTCTCGCTGAGTGCGGCGATGTCCACCTTGTAGCGCGCCAGTTCTCGTGCCACTAGCGCCGTCCTCCATTCCGGTCGGTTGCTCCTCGGATTGTCTAAAAGGGAACGAACATTCCAGGCTGCCAGAGTAAGCGAGCTCATCCTGCCAGTCTGGTGACAACGAGTGGGGAGACGGGAAGGAGGTGGAGAAGAAGATGGCGAAGGAGAAGAATAGGCAGATGAAGAGAAAGAAGAGGTAGGATGAGGAGGCGAGCGAGTATTGTTGTTGTTGTTGTTGTTGTTATAGGTATTGTTGTTGTTTCGATTTTGATTGTTTCGACCATGTTTAGACGCCTGCGGCCCTGGCTAGCCTGAAGACGGCGTGGTGCCCAGCAATGTTTAGGCCACCTTTTCTAGGCCCTTCCCCTCGTGGGGGCTGGCAGTGCCATCCCTTAATAGGGCTGGCATGTGCCGTTGTGGCACGGCCGAACTCCACTATGGGGCCACGACTTTGGGTTGTAGTGGAGAGCGACTCGAATTCGCCGTAAGCCGCCGTCTCCGACGGCGTAGGTGGGCGCGTCAAGGCGATGTCGGTGTGGAGATCCATCCCGTCACCGGCTGTCCAGCGGCGCGCAGAGACGGACCACGTCACGAGGGTGCCGACTCAAGGTTCCATCCGACCTTCCATCCAGCGGAATCCGCAAACCCTGTGCACACGGCACAGCGCACACGGCCCCCTCACCTGGTTTAGTCCGCCGGTCGAGACGGTTGTCCGGGGTGTGGCTGCTGAGCAGAGCCCAGCTACGTGGAGCCACAGGTGAGAGTTGGGTGCAAGCAAATGGACGCTGGGCGTAGTCTCACCTGAAAGCAAGTGAGCAACCACCACGACCATCACGTGAACCCACCGCTGACACCCCTACACCCCACGACCATGATACACAGACTCCGACGGACTGTGCATCGAAGCACAGGGTTAAAGAAGAGGACTGTTATTTGATGTGACTTTTCAGCCTCGTGTTTTGTGCGCAAAAGCAACGGTCAGGTTGCAGAAGGCATATTTTGACTTCAACAACCGAACTCGTGTCTGCAGGAAAGGATGAAGATTTTTTCGTTCATGTTACCTCTTTATGTGTGACATTGTGTGGCACTGTCTGCGAAAGGGTAACTTCGATAGAGGACTCTGGCTCCATGCTCATCTACCACATCGACGAACCGGGGCTTGTCTTACAGCTGCAAAGTATGGGTCTGCCTGCGACGTCCCGCACACTCCGTACATACTCATAATGGAGCTACTGCACACAATGATGCTTTTAATGTTGCAAGCGACACAGCACAATATTGTACCAAGAGGCGGACACAAATAACAAGTCATGTACGTGGAGGGCAAGTACCGTGTAAATATCCCGTTTAGTACCACGTCGTAGCATGATGGCTTCCGATCGAGCATATTCCCAATCACCTGTGCTGAGTCTATTCGTACTGAAGGTAGTACCTTCGCATGAACTGGGTTTCTTGACATATTCTGCCTGCATATTAAGGTAGTTTTTTTTCGAAGATATTATAAACATATTTCGCCTTTTTAGGAAATGCTTAGCCAACCTAATCCCCCAAATGTTTGTCAAATGACGGAAAGGGTTCTTTGACAAATCGATTATCGATTTTATTTGCATTTGTCCCATTTTCTGATTCTCAAAACTGAAGTCGACACTGCAGGTCACGTACTGAATGTAGAAAATGATGCGGCGAAAACACTGACAGATCTTTAGTTTCTGTAATAGGCATTTCTGCATTATTTGCTCTCAAATTTAATTTATGATTCGGTTCGATAGTCAACGGTTTACTCAGTCGCCCTTCCATTTGAAGCATTATATTACTCTAGTAAGTTGGTTTTAGCCAGTTAATGACATCAGCTAGGCCCAAAATGACCGCACGCCATCCATCGTCCTCCTCGATATTCGCTCTGGAAATTGTTAATGTATAGGATTTATGGGAACTTATCTTAAAAACAAGGCTTGTCTTCCTTCAACCGGTTGTTACAGCCTGCTTAAGACGCAACCCAATTTATAACAATCCTTACAGGCGCATTTAATGCTCTAATTAGCTTGCACAAGGAAAAGTGCTTGCTCCCTTTTATGCCAACAGCCCGCAGCGGACGGTATGACAGGCACTTAAAGGTCCAAAATGAACCATTGGATTTAGATCAGGTTGCGAGCTAACAATTTAACCATGCCTGCGGGGCAACGACTAGGAGCCAGAAATTTGCATCCTCATGTGCCTTAACCGTAGACATACAGAACTATTTTTATTTTTTCTACGGAAAAGCGCTTCGTACTTGTGTCATCTTCAAAAGTGAATTGTATACAGCCCCGAGGGGATAGGAAATGGGTTGTTCTGAATTTTGATGCCCGTTGCGTGCATGACGCTCACAGCGGCGATCAGCGATTAAATACAAACCCTAAATAGTCCTTATTATTGAAAAGTAGCACTTATTTTCGGGGTGATTCTGCAAAAGCGAAAATGAGACTGCCAGAAATCTTACGACCTGAGGCACACTTGTTAAGCCGCGTCGATTGTTCTACCCGTAACTACGTTAAAAATTGATGATAGGACAGAGTCCGCGCCTGATTATTTTGCCTAAAATATTCGTTTCGGCTTTGCTTTGATGGTCCCGCCTCTGATATTCAATAAAATTTTGTTTTTCCTCGGAAGCTATGCAAAATATAAAGTTGGTATTATGAATGAAGTCGCTTATGTATAAAATAATGTAGCCAGCATGAACTGAGCATAGGTAGCTCTTCTTATTTCTATGAAAAAGATAGTCGACACACAAGTACCGCACATTTTGGGAGACACAAAATATGTGTAAATAGAACACGAGCTACGTATTTCAGTGGAGGCAAGGCAACAGGATGTAAAAGGACAAGAAAATATACGTATATTTTGATTTGAATAAACGAAACTAAAAACATGTCATAATCTGCCCTAGCTAGATGAATCTGGTTCAAATACTTGGACAAGCCTCCTGTATCTGACAAAACTGAAGGTTTATGGTTGGTCCACCAGTGTAAGTTAATTGTCAAACGTCATCGTACCGTAAAATAAACTGTTTCTAATCTCTGTCAATAGGGAACCTGTTTGTAGTTAAAATAGTATAAAACTTGCTTCATCGACAATATGTACTCAGTCTGGAACTCCATTCTTCGTCATCATTCTGACCTACGACTGGCAAACTAGGATAAAAGAGCCGAAATTGCGGTCACATACTCCCTAGTCTTTTCCGATTATCTCTGTTTTAGTTCGAAGTTTGTAACGGAGTCGAGTGAGTTAAGATGAGTAAAATTTACAAGGTATTTAAATTTAAAGACTGATATCTTTAGGAATTTCTTAAATAATGTCTTATTCCTTAGCGGTAAGGACAATGAAGAATGCGATTTTCCATTTATGGCAAATAAGTCGACGTCAGCCATTTAAAAACAACCGATAGGCTTACGAACTCATAGCCCAGTGGCAGAGCATTAAAATAAAAATGTGTCAAGTACCAAAGCAACTCGATTTCGAATCGGGGGTCATCCAGATATTCTTTCTATTGAAGCGTTACCGACAAAGACAAGAGAGACCGAAATTGTCCCTTCTGGCCTTTTAGTTGTCGTCAGTCAGCCGTACCCAACTTCCTGGTGTCGAACATCTGGGGCTGGATCTCGCAACTTGTTAGCTAAAAGTCCAACGTTTTTAACCACTGGGTCACGGGCTCGTTTCCCTGGCGGTTGCCATCGGGAATATACAATGGTGGAGGGGCGCTCATCGATCGCACTACGGACCTTACTCGTCCAGTTGCACTTTGGGGATCTCTCGAACCCCGTCAACAGCCTCACGGCGGCAAGTAGTATAGGCAGGAAAGTATAACCGAAAAGACAAGGGAGATTGGAATGGCGATCGACGAGCCCGCTTATTCCATTATATGTTCCCGAACGAGACCGACAGTACAACTAGACTGTGGCGCTGTGGTTAAGGACGTTAGAATTCGAACTAACAAATCGCGGAATCAAGCCAGAAGTGTTGCGTACAACGGTACGATTGTGTTCCGTAACGCGATCGGCGAGGATCCATCTGCCGTTCTGTTCTGTGGCAAGATTAAACAAGGTAACTAGCGCATACCTATTCAATTGGCCTCCCGACCCCCATATTTTTCATTTATCCACCATCTCCTTATAATCTTAATTTTGTCAGCTGTCTGTTAAAGCAAAATTTCAATAAACGTAGTGACCTGGTAGAGGAGTATACCCTTCTGCACAACTTTCGGGACAGAATACGCGTTTTTCACTCGGCCGTGAGAATTTGGTTGGGTGGACAAACTTGATGGAACATATTACAGGGGGTGCTCATCGCTTTCTGCCTCGAAGCTCAATCGATACTCCTCGCAGTCTTCCGTGGAGCGACGAATAATGTGTTGTGACTACAACTAATCGGAGAGAATTAATTCTCCTAGTCTCCTTTTGTTTTTGTCGATAAGATCTCCGTTTACACATTAGTATTTTCCGTCACCATCCTTTTCTGCGATTTTTTCATTCGGCTTTACAAACCTCACATTTGTTCCAAGTTATCTTCTTCAAAAGATTCCAGTTTGAAATATCCCTAAACGTGATGACTTGGAGGAATTTTATGGCAGTGAAGTACACCCTACCGGACGCCAGGATATGAAGCACCAATTCTGTCCTATCAATGATAGGAAGTATGGTTGAGAACATCCTGCAATCCTCGTAACAGACAGTACTCAATAGGAAAAAATGTTTTTCAGGAAGCGCTCAAGTAATAAATCATATGCCAGGGAATACATGTTAGCAAGCGATCTCAAATTCAGGACGGATGTATTATAAACAAAATGCCCACCTTCTTCTACAGACGTAGAGGGTTCCTGCAATAAACTTGTCTGAAAAACATGAGAAAATAAACGCCCCGCCCAAGTAATAAAGGTGGGCCTGCACATAATTCAGAAAGTGCAAAATATTCACGTGTCCTAAGTCCAACAGTAGCCCTAATACAAAACTAATCCGTTGCCCTAGTCTTAACCACAACCCTTTCCTGAACCTTAATTTTACAATCAGCGCTAGCCGCCATCTTAAATATATCCTTGATCCTAACTTACTATATCGTTACCTTTAGAC